TAACAAGCATCACTAACTCCACACCTCATGACACTTACCTCAATGTTCTCAAGTGCCAACAGTAATCCACACTTCATAAGACTGTAACTATGCCTCTTCCGGGCAATTCCTAAAGCTAACTCAAGGCTTATCTCAAACTCTTCCATTTCAGCCCCCTGCCATTTCTTCCCTGAGATTGGTCACCCTAGAGGCTGTTGCTAAAATCTAGGATTCCTAGTGGAGGCTTGAAGCAAGCCCAGAAAGATGTGGGTAAATTTGGAGAGCCCACAGGTTAATAGAGATTAGTACAGCAGATGTTTTGTTAAGATAAAAAACTTCCAGGTCCCTACAGTCCCACCCCCTCACACACACACACACACACACACACACACACACACACACACACACACACACATGCATTCACTCACACTGAAACACAAATGCACACACACAGACAGACACACACACACATACACACACACACACACACACACACTTGTTTGCAAACACAGACACACGCACACATGCAAAAATACTTACACATGTACAGACACACACAAACACACACACATGCATATATAAAACACAAACACACAGACAGTAACAAACTCACACATATATACAGACAAAGAAACACTCCCACACTTACAGAAACACACACACACACACACCTGGAGCTGTGCTGCCCTCAGGTGGACATCAGGCCACATCGCAGTGTTTAAATCTGAATATGTTTGACTTCTTTTTCAGCAGCTTGCTGATCAGCCTTTTCTGCTTTTCAATTATTATATTATAAAAGAACAAAAATAATAGCAGTGTTAATAATAATATTAGTTTTCCACATTTAGCTGTTAATTTTGTTATTTAAATAAGTTTAATACTATACTATAATTGATTTTAATATTTCAGAATATTTCATGTTATTGTTGTCAACATACGTTTAACAATGAGAAAAACACACATTTCATTAGAAAAAGAGTTAATTAATCAAGAATTAAGTCTTAAACACACACACACACACACACACACACACACACACACACACACACACACACACACACAGATCGCTATAAGTTGATTACAGAGGATATAAAAATTTAATTATCTGTTGATAAAAATGTCACTGTTTATTTTTGTTGGCAGGTTTTCATCTTCACAGTTTTCTGGTATTATTTATCATAATTTTAAAATTATTTTTATTTATATATTTATATATATATATATTATTATATATTAATATTTTTATATATTTTTATTTTTATATATTATTTTTATATTTATATTTGTATATATAATATTTTATATTAAATTTTTATATATAATTTTTATTTATATTTTTATATATATTTTACTATATATTTATATTTATATATATTATTATATATTTATATATATATGATAAATATATTTATATATATTTTATTATATATTTATATTTTTTATATTTTTTATATTTTAATTTTTTATATATTATTATATATTTATATTTTTATATATATTATTTTATATTACATTTTTATACAAAATTTTGATTTATATTTATATA